AGCCAGCCCCGCCCCCTGGTGGGCTGAGCTGGCCACACACACACACACACACACACACACACAAATAAATAAATAAATAAAAATTAAAAAATAAATAAAGGACAGAAAGAAAGAAATGAACTGAAAAAGAAATGTAATTTATCTTGCATGTTGAATTGACATTCAGCCACTTGGCTGAAATTACTTACCAGTTTTAATAGATTATCTTCAAGACAATCATATCATCTGAGAATAATGAATTGTCTTTTCTTTCCAATTCTTATGTCCGTCGTTTATGTTCCTTATTGCCCCAATTATTCTTCTCAGGACAGGACTAATAGTGATGTTCATAGCAGACATTCTTTCCTGCTTCCCAGTATCAGGAAAATACTTTCAATACGCCCCCACTATGTAATGCTTCTGGTGGTCAATTGCAGAAAATCTCTGTGGATTAAAGAAGTTAACCTCACTGGCATTTTAGAGGCCAAGATGATCGTGGTGACTAAGATGGTGGCGCTGATTCTGTCGTTTGTCACACACTCTCAGTCACACTATGCTAATGACTTTTAACACTAACCCTGATCCTCCTAAAAATAAATCAAATGAACTACAGTGCTGTATCTTTTAACATATCAATAGATTTGACTTGTTCTAATATTTTCTTTAGAATTTTTGCATTTTTATGCAAGCAAAAGAAAGAAGTTATCCTGCAAATCTTATTTCTTGTATAGTTTTCTTCAGGTTTTGCTATGATCATTGTATTGCCCTTATGTATTTAGATAAGAAATATTGCCTCTCCTATTTTCTAGAAGAGTTTTATGTAAAACTAAGAGATTTTCTTTTCTTTCTTTTTTTTTTTTTTTTCTTAATGTATTTGGTATAGGGTTTCACTATGCAGTTCGGACTCACAGTGATCCTCCTATTTTCAGGCTCCACAGCACTGGAATTATAGGTGTATGGCACCACACCTGTCTTGGTGGCTGGCTCAGCACACCCGGGGGTGGGGTGGGGGCTGACACAGCATGCATTCCCGGGGAGTGAACCCTGGTCCCTG